ATACAGAGGTTTTCGACGCCAACATACTCATATATATATATATATTGTACTTTAATATTTAAATCGTAAGTGGAGATCGGGACTCTACGCGTCTTTAGAGAGAACACGATTTATCGAAAGTGAATGTCCTTTAACGTTTAATCATCAGTCGGTCCCGATATCCGATGGTCTGATATCAGTCGTTGCATGTGCGAAATCGTTCCGCATCGTTTAATCAGACTTAACGTTCTGTGCAGTCCGGCGAAAAATCATTTCGGTTTCCGTGAGTGAAACTATTCTCCTATCGTTCGTTTTATTCATATCAACAAGTGTAAAACTTGTTTCGCGTCAAAAAATAAGAGTCATCTTGAACATTCGTGTTCCTTAATTTACCAATAGTGGTAATATTAGAAGATCATTGTTAAAGATCATTGGCTTCTCCCTTGTGATAATTCGTAATTTTATTGAAATTTACGCGAACTTCGTTTGTTTAATGTTAGCCAGCGAGAAAGTTTGATAAATTATAATTTCGTGAGATATCATTGATAATAATTTTTGTTAGCCGATCTACCGCGAACTGTAAGAACAAGGCTTTTCCTCCGAATGCAGTTCTGCGAATTCTTCTAAGAATCTTTCCATCCCGTATCGCATAATATTTTCATAACTTTTCGTGTAATCTTTTCCCTTGCCTCTGACATTTCTTCTCCATGCTAGTTTCAGAAACAAAGTGAAATATCGTAGATATTTCTTTTTTTTTTTTTTCTCTCTTCAAAAAATTTATCAAGTCCTTAACACGATAATCAGTGTACGGAATCACGTTTTTTATGCACAAATGAACAATCGTTAAACGTGCCCTCCGTTTCTTTTTTGCCAGATTTGTCTCGTGTAATCTAATCTCACTTACTGTTAGCTGATCGACTCGATCGATCATAAGTATGTAGCGATAGTTAACGGAGGATCTACGGAAGATAACGAAACAAAATCTTTGCTGCTCTCCAATTACGGGTCCGCGTTACTCTCATCCCTTGAACGATGCATTACGTTCCAATTTTTCATTCGATACGATTAAGTATTCCATTCGAAGTATATCTACGGCTAGACGGCTCGTAGCTTTAACTCTTCGAGTTGAATTCTCGCGATTTTTTCGTGAAAGAATGATCAAATTTGTAGGAAGTTTTAAGTAGAGTATAGAGTCGAGAAGGTGAATATTTCATTGTAGGAAAGAGCGTCACGGATCTGAGGCAATTTTCGACTTTGCCGAAAGTGTAAGGTATAAAGGGTTGAAACGATCGATAGTAAGAGTTTATCAAACGATTACGTTTTCTACCAAATATCCAGAAATTTTCCCGAGTAAAAGCTTGAGGCGCATTCCTTCATGCGAATTACGAAAGGATAAAAGGAAATTGAACAATCTTTACATTCCGACACGTTATTGGAACGTCCCCAAAGATATCGATCGTTTAGGGTCGTTTAATCCCTGAATGGAGAATAATATTCGCCTCTTTTCTACATTTCGTGAGGATTTAATAATAAGAATAAGGAAGAGATATTGCCTCGATGATGCGGTGTGGATAAAGAATAGGGTACTTGATAAATTCCGGGTCGATCATTATACATTGCATGTTATTAGTCTAACAAGTTGTAAAATATTGAAACACAGGGAGAATCTTATTAAGGAGTA